TACAGAACAGGGGCAGTGTTCGCTTTGGCGAATATACTCAAGAAGTACAAAGCCGATATTATTGCCTTACAGGAAATGCGATGGAAAGGGACAGGCGTAAGTAAATCAGACGATTTCGCCCTGTATTATAGCTGCCATGAAACGAGACATGAATTTGGCTGCGGATTTATGGTCAACAGGAGAATAAAAGACCTTGTCTCCAGATTCACTCCAGTAGATGAGCGAATTGCTATAATCCGTATAAAAGCGAAGTTCTTTTACATCAGTCTTATTTGCGCCCATGCTCCGACCGAAGAAAAAGATGAACAGACCAAAGACATATTTTACGAGCGCCTATGACCGTTGCCCTGGCCATGACATTAAAATTCTGCTAGGAGATTTTAATGCAAAAATCGGAAGGGAAAATATCTTTGGCCCCACCGTCGGAAAATTTAGCCTTCATGAAGAAACATCCGACAACGCCATGAGGTTGATTGACTTCGCGGCAGCAAAAAACATGGTAGTTAGCAGCACCAGATTCAAGCATCTCGATATACACAAGGCCACCTGGATTTCTCCTGGTCAAGTCACGAGAAATCAAATTGACCATGTTGTGATAGACGGAAGGCATTCATCCAGTGTTTTAGACGTCCGATCGATCCGGACCATTACCTTGTGGCAGCCAAGGTACGTACCCGTCTTAATGTTGCAGCAAAGGTGCGATCTAATACAACACGGAAACTCGACGTCGAAAAGCTGCAAACACAACAGGTAGCCGAGGCCTACTCCGCTCAACTTAGTATAGTATAGAAGCACAATGGCAAAGAATTGCCCACTCCCTACAAACTGCAGCAAAAAGAACAATTGGGTACCAAAAACCACCACAAGAAACCCATGGTACAATCAGGAGTGTCGTAATGCTACTGATGTGAAAAACGCAGCGTATAGGGCAACCCTGCAGACAGTAGCAACACGTAACGTGATGGAGAATTATCGGGAGAAAAGGAGAGAGGAGAAACGTGTCAGAAACGTCAGAAAAAAGAAGAAAGAACAAGAAAAACGTGAGCGTGAGCAAATCGAGATGTACAGGAGTCAGAATGAAGTCCGGAAATTTTACCAACGAATAAAACACCAAACCGAAGGCTTTGGTGCAGGCACATCCTCCTGTAGAGATGAAGAAGGAAACCTAGTGACAGATACAGACAGCGTGTTGAGGATCTGGAAGGAGCATTTCGAAAAGCTACTAGTATCAAATAGTGGCGATGAAGGAGATACCCCAGAACCAATAAGAGATGATGGTATAGAGTGTATACCACCTAGCCAAGATGAGGTCATAAAAGCAATTAATCGGCTCAAGAACAACAAAGCAGCAGGAGCCGATGGGTTACCAGCCGAACTATTCAAGACTGGTGGCCAGATGCTGGTCAGGAGCATGCACCAGCTGATTAACACAATTTGGCTAGATGAATGCATGTCCAATGATTGGAACCTCAGCATCCTGTGTCCCGTGCACAAAAAAGGAGACAAGACGATATGTGCCAACTACAGAGGAATAAGTCTCCTTCCCATCGCATATAAAGTGCTATCCAGTGTGCTGTGTGAACGATACGGCTATGCAGGATAACTTTAAGTGGCACAAGGTCAGCCGTTAAAGTAGGAAAAGACCTATCGGAGCCCTTCAATACCGAACGAGGATTCAGACAAGGTGACAGTTTGTCGTGTGATCTTTTTAACATCCTACTGGAAAAGGTCATACGAGACGCAAAGGTGAACAGAAATGGCACTCTGTACAGCAAACAACATCAGTTACTCGCCTACGCCGATGACATCGATATAATGGGTCGAACATTGCGAGCGGCCATCTTTGAACAAATTGAAAAGGAGTCTGCCAAAGTGGGTCTGGCAGTAAACGGCGAGAAGACCAAGCTGATGGTATCAACGCGCAAGACGTCCAGTAGACTCGGACCAACTGTGGAACTTGAGAACTACAGCTTCGAGGTAGTTAAAGACTTTATATACCTTGGTACCGCCATAAATAAAACGAATAATATCAGTTTTGAAATTCGGAGAAGGATTGTGATGGCCATAGTAGTATGGTCTAAGTAAGCAGTTTAGAAACAAGGCCACCTCTCGCCAGACCAAACTCACACTTTACAGGACGCTGATACTACCCGTGCTATTATATGGATCAGAAGCATGGGTACTTGCCCAAGCAGATGAGGCAGCGCTTGGGGTGTTTGAGAGAAAAATTCTCCGAAAGAACTACGGGCCGATCTGCGTCGACGGTGAATATCGGCGTCGAATGAACCACGAGCTCTACAATTTATACGCGGACATCGACATAGTCAGTCGTATTGAGCTGCAGCGACTACGGTGGCTAGGCCATGTTGTGCGGTTGAATGAAGAAGCCCCAGCTCAAAAGACATATAAAAATGAGCCTACTGATGGTTCCCGTAGAAGGGGAAGGCCACGAATTAGATGGAAAGACCAAGTAGAAAACAACATCTTGTAATTGGTGGACTTGCGCACAAGACTGACGCGCTTGGAAATCTTTTTTAAGCTCGGCTTATGGAACAACTGTTCTGTAACAAGCCAGCTAAGTAAGTAAGTAAGCTTAATAAGAAGAAGCAACTTTATTGTAAAATTCCCCTATATAGCATCTCGATGTTACATTACAAATCTCAATAAAAATCACCCCCATATGTTAATTAGTTGCGTCAAATAGGTTTTTTTCTTATTTTTCTTTTTTTACGTATCATCTGAAAGGGGAATATAATTCAATTTTACTTTCCTTCTCAATGCTGCCCTTCTTCTCTCAATTGTAATTACACTGTGCAACTTTTGTAACTTAAAGTTATTGAAGCGAATCTTTAGGCATTTGGTTATTTGTATTTTCGCCAAAATTCTTGTTACACAGTGTTGTTATTGATGATGACCAAACATGTTTTCAATTTCAAAACAAAACAAAAACAAGAAAAAATGAAATTTTAACACATTTCTGTTTATTGGAAAATAACGATATTCATTATTATTAGTATTTTGTATTTTTATACGCCACTGAAGTTCAAGATCACATCGTTGGAGGCCGTCGAATATTGTGAAATTATTAAATGACGTCTGTTGACACTTTCATCAGAATGTTTATCATTTTGATTTGTTTACACAATGAAGATCTGAAAGAAAGAATGACAAATCGCAAATATGTAAAAGGGGATTTTTTTGATTTAAAAGAAAAGGATCGTCAAATGCTTGGCTACATTTGATGAACGAACTCATTCATGCTCAGATATGAAGAGACTGTTCCGAAGTAATTTGTTAAGTAAACATTCGACATTGCATTGCAAACATATCCAATATTTGTTTTGTCATGTTTGTGACCGGGAAAATAAGTTGACCATTTCAATTTTGTGAAGCACAGTGACTTACAAAGACTTTAAAATCAGATCATTGGTCGGCACAACTACAGCAACGTTTTTTACCCTCAGAACTCAATAGCGGATGATTCCAGAAATAAATTAGTCAGGTCTCTTTGAACTTAGCATTTTTGTTGGAAAGTGGAGTCGTCAGCGAGGTCTCCAAGGAGCATTCGCCCTTGTATAGGGTAAACGCACCTAATTCCGGCATGTACCAATAGTCGGCATCTGTTTTATATAACTAAAAATAAAAAATACCTTAAATAATCCTTAATAACACTGCAACCTATCTCTGTATAAAATTTAATTTATTATTTAATTTATTTAGTCAAAATTTGGCATTTAGTCAATGAGGTTTGTCAACACTAGCGATAATTCATGTTTCTTAAGAAAAAAAATAGTGGACATGTCGTGTTTAAAAGACTTATAACTATATTAAAAATATATATTTTTAAAGTATCTTTTTCGTAATTGTAAAGAACATACAGGAGAATACTTTAGAATTTAAAATTATTAAAAAATATTTTTAATTGTGATATTTTTATCGATGTTGACCTTAGGAACCACATTTTTTAAGGTGTTCCAATAGTCGGCATATAGGTAAATAATAAGCACCATTTCGATCATTTTGGCTCAAAATTGGAAAAAAATTTTAAATAAGTGCTCTAAATAACGACTAATTTATAAAAAATCAGTTTTGAGTGGTTTTACATAATAGAAGACATTGTTTAATCTTAAAATTTTTTAACCTCTGAAATGCCTTATTTAGCCATGACGAGAATTGGATAACAGGTTCCCAAAGTCGGCACCATGTTTTATAATTGTAATATTTTAATAAAAAACATTATTTAGTATAAATTTTTCAATACAACGCTGATTGAAACGTCCCATAGTAATAATTTATTATTGCAAATAGCTGAAAAATCGATTAAATATATTCTTTTTGTTTAACTAAAATGCGACATGCCGACTATTGGAACATAACATGCCGACAATTGAAAAAAAGTGCCGACTATTGGCACAAAGGCACTATTTTATATAATTATTAATTTAATCTACTTTAATACAAATTAATTAAACAAATTTGTATTCCATCGGGGAGTAAACAAAATTACGAAACAGATGAGCCTAAATACAATATCGTGGAAAACATGCACTTGGAATGGTGAAATGTTTAAAAAGCGAAAATTCTTAATGTGCCGACTTGGTGTGCTTACCCTATATGCCTCCGATGCACTGGCATAAGGGCCGACACCGACGCAGTTATCCATCTGCGACATATTTGACAGGTTCTGCTGATTATAGACGGAAACTTTGATATCAAGGTCGTCTTCCTCGTCCATATTATCCCATATGCATGGAATGCTCTCCTGACTAAGACGACATAAAGGACTAATATCCTTTATGTTGAGAGTGAGCGCAACAGAATGGCCTACATAAATGCTGATGTTCTTTTTTCACTGAATTTTGGAAAAATATGAGGGAGCCCATAATTTTCCTAACCCCAAGAAATATTTCCGCATGAATTAATTTTAACATTTTTTTATTTCAATTAATAACAACTTATAAGCTATAGGACAACAACAATAACATCATTAACAATTTATTCTAAAAATATCGCCTAGAATTTTCCGGTTCTGATGTGGCAACATCAACTGGTGTATCAGCAGCTGGACTGCCACCGCCCACTAATGGCCGTAGCTGTTGCCCTAAAAGTTGTCCCAGTAAATTTGCTACTTGGGCCGCCTGTGCAGGGCTTAAACTTGAAGCCGAAGATGATGATGATGATGCTGCTGGCGCCGAGGTCATTGTAGGTGTTGATGACGCTGCGGGTCTAATAGGTGCAGATGCTGCTGACGCCGATCCACCACTATATAAAGGATTAGCTACTGGAGGATAGCCATACACGGGAGGTCTGCGTATTGCTAACGGCGCCGGAATACCATAATAAGGCTTGTAACCATAAGTGTTGTAACCCTGAAAACGGTCATACAGAATATCATCATAATATGGATCTGCCAGTGGTCGGACTGGAATTCTACGTCTGTATGGAACAATGTAAGGATCAGCGGCGAGGGGACTAAGTGGTCTTAATCGGCTATATGGTGAAATTGGTGCATCATAGCCGATAATATTTGTTCCCAAGCCACCCAGACTTAATAAGTTGAGAGCAGGATTCAATAAGCCAAATGTACGACCTTGGCGAGCTGGTGGCCGCCGTTGTTGACGACTTCTCTGGGCAGCCACTACCACTGCGGAAAGTATTAAAATATTTATGACGACAAAGAACTTCATTTTTTCAGCCTTAAGAGTGCGTATTAAAATTTTATAGTTTTGTATTTTATTTATTTGTCAGCATTTCAGTTACCGCTAGATTGAACTAAACTAATTTTAATTCATAGCAAAAATCAATGTTTTATAGGAAATTTACTGATTTTAGTTTAATTCGTTTTTTTTTTAAATCACAACGACTAAGATTCGTTAAATTGTCTTTTGATTTAAATGATTGACATATACGGTGGGCGTTCTGTTTTTTATGGTAATATGGCGCTTGGCGAATTTTGTTGTTGTTTTTGTTTATTTCGAATAATAAATAGGAGAAAATAAATTAAAGCTTTATTTCATAATGATGCTTACCTCCACTATATTTGTACCGTTATTTAGTTTAAATACTATATTGGAAGTAAAGTTTCTAATTAATAGTTCAAATAAGGAACTATTGTTAAAATTGTGTTATAGCAAAAATTCTGAACCTATGTTAGAAAGTTATTAAAAAATAAAACAATAATTTTAATTCATAATAATTTAATTCAATCATTTTCTTATCTATCTATATACATACATAGTATGTATGTATATAAAAATGAATTGCTGTTCGTTAGTCTCGTTAAAACTCGAGAATGGCTGAACGGATTTTTCTTACCTTAGTCTTGAAATGTTCGTGGAGCTTCAGGGAAGGTTTAAAAGGTGAGAAAATGTCGAAAACCGCGAAAATGTTGCAAAAACTATTTTGCAGCCTATTTGCATTTCCACGAATTTAGTGTCGATCTATTTTGATAGTACCACGTCGTTATTTTGAGATATTTTGTGCGAAAATTGGTTGCGTATCATTGATTTAAGCTCACATTTGTCAAATATTGAAAATTTTCAAAATATTTAATTTTTGTTTCAATTAGATTGACATTGTACTGAAACATTTTTTGGGAGAATACAAAAAATAATTGAGAAGTATATCATTGAATGTACACGCGATCATTGTATGTATACGTTTTCCATAAAAATCACGTACATTTTGGGACTAATGCAGAAGAGATTCTGAATCGAGTTCGTGTCCATTCAGGTTATTCGGGTTCTAAGATCCATGATTATTTTGTTTGAAAATAATAATAGGAACTAGTTTTTCCTTAAAGCACCTGAAATGTTGGTATGCCACGGTCGTATTTCAATATCTTTGAACATATAAACAGAATACCTCGCATATATCCGATTCCAAAAATGTGTATCACAGAGAAAACTAATATACGAGATATTTTCTTTGCAAAAACCTATCATTAACCTGAACTAAGATCAGATAAATCCTCAACTAAGAACAAAAACTGAGCAATATTAGACAAAATAGCCAAGACGTAATACCTAATTTGCAGGTTATACCAAAACCTCCGTCCGATGTTACCTATTCGTATGGAACGTATTAATTTTTGGTAGGAAGATTTTACATGACAAATTATGGGTGCTACCAATATTGACAAATTTTAGTAGGATTCATGCTACCAAATAAAACAATTACAGCTGATTAGTTTGAAAAACGTGCCCAAATCCCAAAAGGGTCGCATAATGTCAAGTGCCATTATATGGAGGCTTTTCAGAAGCTTGGGCGAACTTTGATAGGAACATTTTCCACCCAATGATCATCCCAAATATAAAATTAGAGTCAAATACCGAATATTAGGGGGTTACCAGGATACTTGGGCCAATATTGATAATTTTAAGTAGAGAGATGTTCTGCTCAATAAGTATCCACCAATTTATTATCGAGCTATTTTTATTGCACCACGTCGTAGTTGTTATTTTGAGATATTTTCGGAGAAAATTGGTAGCGTATCATTCATTTAAGCTTTCATTTGTCAATTATTGAAAATTTTGAAAATATTATTTTTTTTTCAATTGGATTGACATTGTATTGATTTTTTTTTTTTTTTGTAAGAATTTTAAAAGTAATTGAGAAGTATCATTGAATAGAATAAATCATTCCATAGAATGCCGTACATTTGGGACAAATGCAAGGATGAAAATCAGAAGACATGCCGAATAGAGTTCTGATTCTAAGATCCATGCCCAAGATTATTTTCTTAAAATAATAATAATAAAGTTCCATAGGGATATTTTATTTCTTAACGTACCTTAAATGTTGTTATGCTACGGGAAATCAGATGGCACCATTATATGGTGTATTGAATTATACACCATTATATATCGTATTGAACCTGTGACTATAAAATTACAAATACCTCAATATGTCAGGAGATCTAATAACATCTAAAAATGTTGTTAAGATCGAACAGTTCGATCGATATCTTCTCATATGTATATTCCTTAAATCTATCGGGACATTTATATTGGTACAATGTTATAACACTATTAGGTAGTAGGTTGTCCCTGATCTTTAACAATAATGTTCAAAATTATAGACACTCAGGTTGGAAAAGGGGAAAAGAACTTCAACGTACCGAAAATTAAACGGGAAATATGTATGGCATACTCTATGAGAAAATTCGGTCAAAGTCTTCACAATTCCGAAAATGGAGTGGGACCTGTATGTAGGAGCTTGGGCCAAAATAGAAATGTTCCCTCATAAACGTGTGTTACCCTTCAATATCCCGTTATGGTATATTATAGCTACTACAATGGGAATGGGTATATATTCATTTT